GTTCTTTTTTGAACGGATGATCATCGTGTCCAAAAATCGTTTTATCTTGAAACGAATGGGTATGATTTACTGTAAACATCTTACATCATGATAAAAATTTAAAAAAAACACTCCTTTGTCCGTTTTATTAAATATTTATATTTATGAAAGAAAGTTATGGATTTTGTTTTAATCCTACACAAACAAAAAAACCCACTATTTAATCTTGAATATAATCTACCGCCTGAATTTATGTAAATAAAAATCAAATATTTCACAAGGATAATAATCTTGTCTTTTATTTTCACGACGCGGAAAATGTACTTAAACGATTTTGAATTTTGAAGTGTATACCAATCGATTTTTTTTTATTTTCGAACAAATTTCGTGGTTATACCAGTAATACGGGCACATAACCACTTTAAATTTTATTTTAAAATGAAGTTTGAATATTTTTTAGTCGATAATTTCATTTTGTTTACCTATTGTGTAAATGTTTGTTTTTGTTTTCGTAAGGTAATAATTTTTAGGGAAGATCAAATAGGTATTTAAGTATAGTCCATAATAATAATGTCATACATAAATAATTGAATACAGAGAATATTTTTAAGAAAAAATGTTTTGTTCCTAATATTTCGAAAATAACTGCTAAAAGAAAAAATAAATACAAAATCCATGACAACACAATTTAGTTTTATATTCGTCACTCATCATTACTCCATTTTGGAGATTTTGAAGTTTTATTTTTATAAGTGTATTTTCGAATTCGTGTTATATATTTGATTCGGGATTATTGTTACTTTTAAAATTATTTTTCATATTAGGGGCATAATAAATCTTATTCAGATTTTACGCTATAAAATATAAATCTCGTCTTACCTTTTTCATTTGGTATCGTTTAGTAAAGGGGACGAACGTCGGCAGTGTGAACTCCATGGCCTTTTATTTTTATGGATATATATAGTTCGCAATATTTATCCGTAGGATTTTCAAACCAATCCCTACCCCGCCGAACCCCTCCACCCTCCTTAAGCACAGTATATCGCAGGCAAACCCACAAATTGCGTACGCATAGTTAAACCCGTTATTGACAACGTAGCCTCGTTTTATATCCGACATTTTTCGGCTATTTTATACGAACACTTAAGTTTCCGACTATGGACTTTTGCTAAATGTATTATTTTCCCATCTCCCAAATATAAAAACTATTATCACAGTGATTTATAACAGTGACTTTTGGGTTAACTAATTAATTATTAATAATTTTGATTTGTTCACCCCGACATTTTCAAAGTCAAAAAAAAATTGATATAGTTAAAAAGTTAAATAGTTAATAGTTAAAAAAGTGCTTAAAATAAGTATCTATTCGATTTCGAACACATTTTAAAAATGTTTAAAATACTGAATCGTTGGTCCTAGATAACATGGACATAAGTAAATTTTTCACAACAATTTTTTATTCCGTAAATTTCACATTTGATTTTCGCTGAGTGTTGTTTGGTTAAATTGACGTAAGCCAGTGACGAATATTACCCATATTATTGAAGAAAGGCAGGGCATATCTCGGATTTTCCATTTTATGTTTGGTAAAAGGGGCACACCATTACTATTATGTTTTTCGTATCATATTATTGTACGGATAAAAAGGGCATAAAAAAACTATTATGACTTTTGTGTCACTTTATTGTGCGGTTATGAATGGCTTAATATGAAAAACTGAATCGTTCTGTAGCGTGTTTATTACACGTGTAAAAATAGCGTAGCCGAGAAATAAAATGTGTGTTTGAAAATCATTATTTTAGTGACGTCCAAAGTACTCATGGTAACATTAATTATTATCAAACTACACAAAAATAGTATTCGTATTTTCGTATTGTTTGTAATATTATGTTTGAAAAATTGACATCGTTGTTAACAACGGTGATTTCAATATTCTAAACGATGCCGGTGTTTATCGTGTTCGTGATTTTCGCTCCTATTTGATTTATGGCTCCTATTATCGTGTTATTCAGATCTCTGCGATCTTATTTACCTTATCGATTTAGAAGAAATTTTATTTTAAAACAAAAAAATCTAATTGGATACACCGAAGTGGCCAAACGTTTATGGAAACAATTTAAAATCTATTTACTAAAACAATTGTTTACGCACTAAACACACATTAATTTCAAAGACAAATATCATTAATATAGTAAAATCTATGATATAACAGATGGGTATACAGAGTTCAGTGTGTGTATTGTGTACATTTTACTCAAGACAAATATTTACGGAAGAAGGTCTAAACCGAATGATGTGATGTTATGATGTCCATAGTAATTATTGGTACCAAAAAACAGCGCGGCGTTTTTTAAAACAATCATTGCGATAACAGCAGGACCGTGTTTATGATTTTGCTGCCTATAGGCAACAGCATTTTGGCACACTCGACTGTGCTTATGATTAATTTTATAACTTGTTAAGTATTCATATTAATAATAGGGATTTATGATATCAAATTCAGTATTTAGAAAAAAATAAACCATGTCACTTTTTTTTAAAATACGGACATAATTCGCACGTGAATACAACTACGAATGTAGGTGAAAAGCTTGGAATGTATGATATAGAAAGGAATTTAATGTATATCCGTAAGCAACGATTATAAGTACAATTGATAGTGATGCTTTGTCAACAATATATAAATCATATCACGGTAATATAGCTAAATATACGCATTATGCATTTTTTTTAATGATATAATGATATTTGTTTAATATTGTGCTGATTTTCCCATTTTTCCTGCATTTTTTTTAGTTTTTTCTTTTTATCAATATAACTACCGGGAAAATCAAAAAAATGACCTCCTGAAAGTTCCATCCCAAGAAAATTTCCTTTTAGAAATGTTACTATATCATCATATACATCGAAGTTAGTCTTCTGGTAAAAAAAAGTGTTTACATAAAATAAAAAAAAATAATAAACATCTTTGTAAAACCAATACATTTTTCTTTCCACTCAGAATCTAAAAAACCGGCAAATGCAGTGAAGGGTAAATAATATAATAATAACAAAGATAACAGTATATTACAATATATTAAGATATAAATATATTATATTCAGCTTTTGTTTCAGTGTTTATTTCTTGCTAGTTTTGCTGCAAATTTTTCTATCACTTCTGTATAATTCAAACTTTGTGAGAATAATTTCTACGTTTAGAACTGCAAGACTATTAGGTCTTTCTGAAGACATAATATGTCATATATTATATGCTCTTAAATCATTTTTTATTCGGCAAAGTGTATAAACAGACCTTTTAGTCTGGATAACGCTCCTAAACCTTACAATGCTCTTAAAGCCACATCTTCATATGGAAAAAGATGGATATACTTCGAACAATGGGTGTAGCCACTGTTGTTGGTGAGAAGTTGGGAATGTAGGATAATTAAGGGAAATTAATTTGTATTTACAAGCAACAATAAACGATCGCTAGCGAAAAACAATTCTGAGCAGATTTCAGTTAGTAGTGATGCTTTTTCAACAATATATTAATCAAATTGTGGTAAAATAATTAAATAGGTATTATTATATATTTACTTTAATAATATTTATATAAAAATTAATAATGTGATTTTCATCATAAAAACTTATAAATGTTCACTATTTATTAGTTCTGCTGTAAACATTATTTTTTATTAAACATTCTGCTGAAGGTTATAGTGAGTTTCTTGTTTTACAGTTAAGTTAAAGTTAAAGTGAAATGACATAACTACAGTTAATTCTTTAAAATATTCTAAATTTAAAAATGTTAGGCTATCAATGTAGTTTAATCTTGATAAATATACATACATATTTTTCATTATATTCGTGATTATGATACTCTAATTGGAAAGAATTTAAAATCGCTGCCATGAGAGTTTAATTAAACTGAAACTTAAGCTCTTCCTACCCGGAATCAACAAAATATTGGTGACTACAATGACTATACTAAAGAAATAACTCAAAATATTAACTTAACTTAAAATTATGTTCATCAAATATTTTGTATCAGTAGTGTTTTTTTTTTTTGCTTACAAGTATAGCGAATATTTTCGTGATTTTCCATATATATCGATATTTAAGTAGTTTGGAATTTTCAGGGCACATAAATATCTGTCCTAAGAATAAGCCTTTCTAAGAATTATTTAAAGACAACGTAGATCACAAGGAGAGGCGAACTAATGTTTGTTTACTCGGTGAAATTTTACTACCGGTTTCCCCATACTATAGAGTTTATTATATGTTTATGTTTTAGAGCTTGAAAGCTAGAATATAAAATCTAAGGGCTCAAAAAAAAAAAAATAATAATAATAAAAAAACATGTATAATATTAATAAAAGTCTTCAAGCGAATTCATTTTTTCGTTTTTTCGATTATCGTTTGGGAATTTAAAAATAACCATTTCAAATAGAGTATCCGAAATCCGTAAAATAAAATCCGTACGTTTTAAGGTACCTACGTGCGAGCAAAAGTATTAGAGGATTTTCACTACCCGGAAAGAATTATTCCGAGTAAGTGGGATCTCCCGTGTACTAAAACAATACTATTCTACATTAATTGAGTACTTTTTCACGTATAAAAATTCGATTTCCGTCTCCTATACACGTTAAACATAAAGTAAGATAGTCGTAATCTCGGAAAGTATTAACTTTTTTCAGAATTTGTTTTTTAATAGAACATTTAAGAAATAAGCAGATTTACAATTCCACGTCGAAATTATGTATTTTTTATCATTCTTATTTTTGCGGGTGAATCCGACTACCGAATATTGATTTTTAAACGGCAAACAAAAGCCAAATTTTAAGTTTTTTTAGGGGAGAGTAATTGAAGCACTATTTATGTGGTGGCCTGGCACAAGGCATTTGCATACACTTTTTCCCATTAAAACTTAAAAGCGAAATATCTCGTCAAAAATTTCAAATCAAAGAAAAGTTTTACAACGTCCGTTAACTAGGTAAATATATTATATTCTGCATATTAAATCCCACTACTTTTTAATTGTCTTAATCATCATTTTTATTATTTCCGAATTTATTCGCCGCACGCATGCAATCTTCGATTCTCTTGAGGCGTTCGGCTTCAGCTTTATCCATTCTTTTGTAAATGTCGAGCAACGGTAGAAACACTTCCGGCTCTGATAATTTTTTCGACGGGTAATACAATTTCATTTTGACCGGTTTTTCGAGCATTTCCGTACGTTCGTTCCACATACGTTTCTTGTGGTCCACCTATAAAATATTATATTACATCGAATACAAATCCGCGATAAATTTAAATAGTTTTACTAAGATTTCACCTGATATTCTTTTTTCAACAAAAAGTGTCTATAATAAAATGCGTCCATAACACATGCGCCGCCGAAAATGGCCCATATCAACATACCAGACGGGTTTTTCTTTAATAACTTCCACGAAACTATCTCGCTGATTTTATTCGGGCCTCCCGTATTAGACGGAGGAGGAGGAGGAGGACGACTAGGCGGAGGCGTTTTCTTGTAGCTGAACGGTTTCGGATCACATTTCTTATTAACTGCAGTTTTCTGAGCCATTTTTTCGTTTATGCGATTATTAAGAGTACAAATGGCAGAACGTAAAAAACTCGTCTACTTTATTGTATTTCCGTAAACATACTACGAACAAAAAAAAAACAACAAACTAATTGATTCACAAACCTATTTTATTATTTGTGTGCCAAACTACACATCGATACTAAAGAGAAAAAGTATCAGCCAGTATACAATATATTTAATTAATTAAATATTATGTAGGTCATTTTTGAAAAAAATATTTTGGATATGGTTTAGGTATAATGACTATAATGTAGTACAAAAACTGTGTCTGTAATTTTAAAATACCGATAAATCGTCCACAGTATCTGGCCGTTGAGTATAAAACGCGGTTTGATAAAGTCCAATTAAACATTCATAACTGTTACTCTTCTCTAAACATTTTGTTCTTTTGGATTAATTCGTATTATCGTCATATTATATTTCTCTGTAGTAATACGAGATATGATGCGTATGATGCGGAAAATAAATTCGGTTATAGGTTTAATTTCGGTGTGCACAATTACAGGTTTCGACAGTTTTCGTATACTATTATTATTTAATGCGGGAAATCGTGCTTTTATTTTTTTGGTTTTTTTTTTTCGCATTTGAACCTTGAGCGAAAAACGTTTGTCGTACAATAATAGGTATACAACAGAGAAGAATAAACGTATATATCTATACTGCGTTACCGCGAAATGCATTTATTTTTTTATTTTCGGAAAGTGGTTTAATCAAAATATTTACGTTAAATTATATCGCGGTTACCTATGCGTTTTATAATGCCTGTAGATATGTTTCTGAAATCTTGCGTTACTGCACCGTCCACAATGCTTTGGGAAGGGAATGCGGGACTTTTATACATTTGTCCCACATAAGTGTTGACCTATATAGCTATATATTATAATTTATAGTGCATATTATTCTCCCTTTACGTTCGAAATCTTTACGGCGATAACAACATACCGCCGCCGTTTGAATTAACAAGCAAATAATATTAAATTAGATTGTTATTAGCTATCGTGACCGTTTCACGAATACAAAATAATTAACATTGAAAAATATACATGCAGAAAAAAAAAAAACGAAACATTTATTAGATTCTTCGATAAAAACTTCCGTTTATATTAGAATGCACTCGTACTTACTGTATTATTATAACACACGATTCCATGTTGAATCGACGATTATTGAAATAGTATATGATTATTGTATTGCAAACGTGATAATAATTTTAAATTATTGGGGTAACTCGGGGTAGGGAAAATAGATAAAACCGTGCTCGAAAACCCCGTAGGACACATACTTGCAATATTATTTTATTTTTATTTAAGAAAACTTATATATTATATATTATATAATATTTGATTTCATATATTACGCCTCGTGAAAGGAGAGAAATCAATTCAACGATAAAACTAATTCGAGCATTTTTTTATGATGTACTTTTATTGTAATGAATCTCTACACAATAGCAGTTACGAGTAACGAACTTGATTTCCAGGGAGAAAATGTCTCAAAAGTATGGGCATTGGAGGATTTGGGCAAGAAAGCACTTTAGAGTAGAATCCCGAGTAGTGTTTGGTGGCTAATTGTTACACGTTATCGATTACTAAGACCTTATCCAACGTGTTGTTGGATACGTACCAGGATGTAGATGTTACTAGACGGAACACTTTTGATTGAAACGCCTGTATAGCATGTATATTCGAGGGTTTGGCACGGCCCCAAATCTGAATATTATAAGCCCACAAAGGCCTGATGAGTGGTATATCTATATTAATTTTTGTATGTAAAGACGATTCAGACTTAAGAATTGGACGAAAAGGACGCTGTCGGCCATTCCGATATTTTATTTTTGCCTTCGAATGGGAACTCCATATCAATCTTATCGAGAGTAATACCAAGATATTTTAACTCTGAAATTAAAATTTACAATAATCGATTTTTCAAAACTTATTTTGATACCGCACTTGGATGATTTTTAAATAAATTTAGACATTTTGTAGAAGTTGCAGAGGTTTTCAATGGGTCGTTTCCGGAAGAGAATATTGCTGTATCATTATTTACCGGCATCTGTGGCTACGACTGCATCCGGAATATCGTCTGTAAACATTTTAAAAAGATCCGGCGAGAGATCACTACCTTGTGGGAAACTTGCCATTTTTAACGGAGATTTTTCTTTAGTCTTATATTCCGTGTATTTTCATTTCAACGCGTAATTAAAACAATTATGGTCAACTAAAACCAAATGCGAGCGAGATATAATTATTGTAATGAAATTTGATTGAGCCAATTATTCGAATAAACAGGAAAGAAAATGAGCAACTAAGATCCATCACTAAAGTCGAATTTTCTCCCAGCTAAATTGTTGCAGTTATAATAATATTTCCTTTTTTTTTTTCATTATTATTATTGATTTCAAATATGTATGATTGTCTAAGTGGTATTACGTTTTAGTCAGTTAGGGTATTTCAGATCAGGTATATCTTTTTAACACGTGAGATTTGAGTATAAAAATGGTTGAAATTTGAAACGCTCTTTAATACTTATGCTGTCATGCAAATATAAATTAAGGTCAGTACAGAGTATAATTTATACATTTCTTTAGCTCTATACAGTGTATAAATACCTAAAAAAAAACCTTCTACCCTCAAGAACATAACAGATATGACGCAGTGAAAAAGTATTTAATTTTGGGGAAAATTTGATTAAAGCGTACGGCAAAAATTCAATCAATGTAAATTAATTCAATTCGTTTTGATTCTGAGTGTAGCGAAGAATGTATTGGTTTTACTAAGATGTTTATTTTTTTTTTTTTTTTTTTTTTTTGGTCCTGTGTACAAAAATTCTACCAGAAATCTTGCTCAGATATCTAAGCGCAGCACCATTTCTGAAAGAGAATGTTATCCAGGTGGTACTTTTAGGTCAATTTTTGATTTTCCAAACGGTTTTGATAATATCCGGTAAAAACCAGGAAAAACCGTAAGAAAAGTGGGAAATGTATAAAATTAATGCTTTTATTATTTTATCAAGTTTGTTATTTATTGTAATTCAGTTATAAAAATATGTTTATTTTTTATGGTCTTGAAATTTGGACAAAAACTTATATTTTTCTTTTTTAAACGTGGTAAAAGTTTCAACAAAATTACATAATTTTTGAGCTGCTTATAGACATTTTATTTTTGTATGTAATTTTTATTCCAAAATTACTGTGTGGTAAAATTGTTAGACGAACAGAAATTTAAAATTAAATAGGAAGTTCATTAAAACTCTACTTTATGGTAAAAAAAAAAAATTGAGTTTATTGTAGTATTTTATTTTCTAAGGAAATTTTAATATCAAATTTTGACTAAAAAATGACGTGGAAAAAATCCAGTTTTTCAATTTTTTTTTTTGAACATAAAATGAATAATACCGATTTAAAGGCGATGGTGAAGTCAGAATTAAGGGGACCGACTAAGTTTATTGAAGTTTTGAAGTTTACGTGGATATTATGTTATTTTAAATAACTCGATAACTCTTCTTTAGCATATTTATCGTGAACTTATGGTTATTTATGCCTATTATTATCCTAGGGGTTCCGAGTTCAGTCCAGTGTGTGAAAGAAAAAAATTGTTTTCATTTTTTTTCACATAAGCAAAAAAAAAATTAATGTTTTTTGGATGTACATTAAATTACCTGAAACTGTGGCTGTATCCGTCTGTATCCTAGGACGTCATTTTTAGTTCAAAGTTTAAACGCAAAAAATCTTACAAATTTAATGTTAAATCCCTCAAAATATTACATTAAAAAAAAAAAAAATTATTTCCGATATTTGATCATTATATTTATATAAGTACTGACTTTCCGAAATGCGTTTTTTTTTTTTGAAATTTTATTAATTTAATAATTTGATTCCATGATATTCGTTTTTTCCGGTCGGACGAACTCGTTTCCGGTCGATAATAATCGTTGTGGATTTTTTATACGTTTATAATAAACACGTTCGCGCACTCACAGTTTTTGAAGGGAGGACTCGTGATAATATATTCTCGGAAGTTTGGCGGAAATAATAAATCGGTTTTAAAAAGCGTTGTGCGAAAGTCACGGTTACTAATAATGATCGAAGAAAAGTAATGAAAAAATAATTATACCGCCCCTTATAGGTATGACGTGCATTTTGTGTAACCTTTGTGTACAGAGTATATTTATAGGATTTTACTATCGCATATACAGTTTAAATAACGATTGCAACTTTTAAATGAATGCATACATACCATTTATATTACCAAAACGTGTAGTGCTTTGCATCTTTCTATCGAATTCCCGCGACGTTCTACTGCTTACGCAGAACAGATATGTGCATTTTTAGGTTTTATTATGATTTTATATCTTTATTTTATCTTTTGTGTGTGTGTACACATGTTTCTACTATAGAAATCATGTCCCAATCAAAAAATGTAGGGTCATTTTTTTGTGAAATGCTTAGTGCATTGAGCAGATGATTTTTTTTTTTTGATTTTTCTTGTAGTTTTATTTATAAAAATGAGAATAATTGGCAATTTTTTGTACACATTTTGTTGATTTCTGTGTTACAATGGCAACAACATGAAAATAAAACTTCCAGTATAACACTATCTACTCAGAATCGTTTTTCGTAAAAAGTGATTTATTGTTTGTACAGATATAAACTGGATTACTTTTAATGTCCTCCCTCAAAACTTCTCTCCTTAAACGGTGACAATATCAACGGTAGATCAGCTTTTTGCCAGAAAAAAAAACATTCTGAGCGTACTAGTAGGCGTCTTAGTATTATAAGTCAGTGCCAAGGTAAGTCACAAATGAACAAACATTTTACCAACGTATCGATAATTTTTCAATCGTTGAGTCTATAGACATGTTTTTTTTTTTTTTTTTTTCAAATAACGTTTCACCGGATCAAAAACACCGCATTTTCGTATGCCTTTCACGGGAAAATCGTAGAATTTTAAGCAACGCGAAACGCGTTTTTCGAGGGGAAAAAAATACGCGCATTTACGTAAACTAACAGTTCTTTCGGCGTTCCCTCTAAAAGTTTATTACTTTATTTGCTATTTTCGCTGCAACCTGCGTAAATGTTTACACGGAGGCCGGGGATGTTATTATTTCGTTACCCGGTGTGATTTTCAGGTACGCGGAAATTCAAGCAGTCCGAAACGCGAACGTATATAATATTATAATATATTTCAATCGTATTAATATTTACGGACTCGAGAAACGAATGTTTACGTCGATTGTAATTTGTCGCCCGACCGCGCTTGCGTTATATCGCGTAGCGTTCTAACCGTTTCGTGTACGGTAGATCGTATTGTTATCAAACTGCGTCGCTTGTATTTCAATTAATGATTCCGGTAAAGCGCGTTACCTATGATAATCGTAATTGTTCATTTCGTTAATAGCATATGCGCATATATATATACAGTAAAATTCGCTTATAGCGATCTTCTAGGGACCTAGGGAATCTGATCGTTATAACCGAACTTCGTTATATCCGGATCATAAAAAGTAACGTGATTTTATTGAAAAATTGATTTATTAAACACATTTTTTACTTTTTAATTTTATTTAACATTACGCGTTTTAACATTCAAGGTATTTATATAAATTTTAATGAAAGTTTATTTATTTGTTCTTTTATTTGACATTTTCAACTTATTCGGATCGTGTCTAAACGGATAGCAATCAAAACGGCAACCAAACGACTAAGAAACGTGTAGGTATTTTGTATACAATACGGTCGTACAAGACACATTATCCGTTACAGATGAGATTAAGAATTATCGATTCGGACGAAATCAAATTTACTACACAACGTACAATGTACATGCATATTATTAATCGCTATGGGTGATTATAAAAACCAATTTTCGTTTTAAAATAACATCGGTATATCCGGATTATCGTTATATACGAATAAAAGTGTTATACATAACATATAAAACCAACCAAATACATTGATCGGAATCGTTTTACCCGGAATATCCGTTATATACGGCGACGTTATACGCGAATTTTGGCTGTATACAATTCGGTGCCGATATAAATGCACGCGAATAACGTTCGGCAGAACGCTTTAAAACTGTACGCGCCGCATAAAAAAATCAATGCAAGTAATAATAATAATAACAACGAACAAGTCTATTGTATTTTATTCATAGACAGCGGATAGACCCGGTGCGTGATGTGTGCCACGACGTCACCGATCGAGACCGTTGAATGTCGTTCGCGCGATCTCTGATCTGACAACGAAGTCGTAAAGCCTTTTATTCGCGCGGTCGCGTTTGATTGCCTATTGCCGACAGCAACGCTGAACAAGACGGGAAGCCGAACGAAAACCTACACAGAATAATATACGCAGCATTGTTTCGTTTTGTGGAAACATTGGATATCCTGCAAACGGACCGCGTTCTTCACCGATACGCATTTGGCGTGTCGATCAAAATTGTTTTCGGGTACAAGCGCTAATGAAATAAATTTAATTGGAAAAAAAAAAAATGGTTTCGAATCAATAACGAACACACATAACTGCATAGTAAAGTGTCACACTACGTTCCACGATGAAATATCATTGTCTTCACTGTTTCAATTTTACCTACATTGTATTTGTATGTAACTATCATTTGAACTTCCCGTTCTTCAAATATTCATCGAAACGAGAAAAATCGTATTTAACTAAAAACCAGTGAGACGGGCTTAATCGGGATGTTCGAATTGCATGTTTTACATAAAATAAACGGTCGAATTGCACTCGGGTAACAAAGCAGGTAATAGCCGAACTACGTTCGGATAGGTTCTAAAAAAAAAAAAAAGAGGTTACAATAAAAAACTAGAAAAATAAACTAGGTTTAAACTCTTAAAAACACTAATTTTCATTCCTGTTGTGTTACCAGTCTTGTTATTTTACCACGATTAAACCGAACGTGTTGCTATAACAGTAGTCAGTCATTCGGATAGCACGGATAATTTCATCGAAAATCGACGAAAGAATCCGTAAATGTTTAGATCAATGCATATTATTTTATTTGTATACCGTATAGACCCAGGTATGTAAAGGTAATAATGCCACGGCTGGTATATGAAGTTGGCGAATCTTTTACAAATTATTTTACGTCAACTATCCCAGATAACCACGGTATTCAAGAA